TAATTATATATAACAAACATATAAAATAATGATCTGGTAAAAATTTCTGGTACCTGTTCACTAATGAACTAGTAAAATCTCTTTAGTTCATTGTCGTTAAGCTAGTCATTTTTATTCTAGTCTAACTTCCTTCTTTTTTCAGTTCTCCTGACCTCCTTTTCCCTCATCATGTTCTTGTTCCAACCTGACATGTTTCCCTTTACTTATCCCTTATCTTTAGTCTTATTAGGAATTTCACAACTGTATCTTTAAGGTGATGCTGTAAAATGTGTTCTACCAAATCCTCGATTTGTCCATCTCCACTGGTCAGGCTTCAGTCCTTTCCCCCACCTCAGCATTCAGTGCTCTTCACAGTCAACATTCTATCCCATTGTGTTTGTCCACATTCTACAACTAATCAGTGATAGAATAGGGCTTTCTTCTGATCCCTCTGTGAGGAAGCGCTCCTCTCTGATTGTGGCACAAGCTGGACGTGGTTTCTCTTTGGGCAGAAATGTGACTGCTGTCACCCCTCCTTTAGGGCACTATTATGTGCCTGCAGCAGCAGCCTGAGAACTTCTAGTTAAGCATTTAAAGTCAGTGGTCACATAGGCTACTTACACAAGCCTTTCACTCAATCTTTACAACAACCCTGTGAGATAGATATTATTATCATACAAAGATGAGGGAACTGACAAGGGTTCAAAACAAGTAAGTAGGAGAACTATTATGGGAACCCAGGTCATCTGATTTACGTCCTTCAGAATGAATTAAATGACTGCATAGCACAAAAATCATTAGAACATTCAAAACTTTCCACTTAAACTTGACCTTGGACTTATAGCCTTTATAATTTTGAAATAGCACAGTTTCTCTGGTTTCCATTTTTTATTTGGTTATTTTCTGATTGTCACATTACATAGAATAATTATCACTTGTCTAGTTAGAAGTATAAATGATTCCAATGAATGAAAGCAGAAACAAGTAATCAATCATAATAATCAATAATTATGCAAATCAATTCAGTATTTACCTAATTTTGAATAATGCATGTAATTATTATGCACAGAGTTGTTAGAGAAACCAAAGGTATTAAGCTAAAACAAAATAAATGTTACAAATAAAGGGTAGTTTGTATAGAAGTGACAAATATATGTATACACTAATAAATTCTACCAATTTAAAAGAAAAACCTATTATGAATACTTCTTTGTTTATTTGTTTCTAAAAGTATTTCTTTATCTCTTGTGTTTTCATATCATAAATTCAGGCACCAAACCAGATAATACCAGTTGTAAAATAATCTAATTTTTTGTCTGCTAATGTGACATACAAATCTCACTAGGTATTAAATTCTTACACACACTTAGATCTGTTTCTAGAATTTATATTTTTGTGCACTGAATACCCTGTTTCTGAAAATCTTTCTTTTCATTACTTTGCTCTTAATAAGTGCTTTAATATCTGGTTAGGCAACACTCCCATATTACTTTTCTTTTTCAGTTTTTAAGTGAATGTTTTTATCCGTTACAATTCTTTTTCTGCTTCAACTTTAGAACCATTTTGGATATCATCCTGAAGGAAAACAAAAATGACACTAACACTTTGTTTCATTTCATTAAGTCAGATTAATTTGGAGAAGAATTAAATGGCTTATAATATTGGACCTTCTTGACTTTCCCTTTATTCAAGTCATTTTTCTTACACTCCTCAGTAGAAATATGAGGCTGTTTATATATAGGGTATCTCTTTATTTCTTGTCAATTCCAATGATTTTTGTCAAAGTTTCTAATTACAAGCAAAAAAGTTGACTTATGCTGAGTAAGCAGAAAACACTTTCAAAATATGTTGGGTAGTTTAGTGAATCAGTAGGTAGATTCAAGGACCAAGCTCAAGGTTAAACTTCCAAGGAAAGTGATCAGAACCATCACAGCAAGTTCTGATGAGAAAACTGTCACCACCACGGAGCACTAGAGATTCAGGTTGCAGCAGCTATACCTCTGCACCAGAAACTCAACTGCTACTTCTAGGAACACTGCTACTTTTTTTTTTTCCTTTTTTTTTTTTTTCTTAAATTTTGTTGAAGTATAGTTGATCTACAATGTTGTGTAAATTTCTGCTGTGCAGCAAAGTGATTCAGTTATACATGTATATATATACATTCTTTTCCATAACCTTTTCCATTATTGTTTATTACAGGATATTGAATATATTTCCCTGTGCTATACAGTAGGACCTTGTTGTTAATCCATCCTATATATAATAGTTTGCATCTGCTAATTCCCAACTCCCAATCCTTCCCTCTCCCACCCCCCCTCCCCCTTGGCAACCACAATTCTGTTCTCTATGTCTGTGAGTCTGTTTCTGTTTGGTAGATATGTTCATTTGCTGCTTCTTTCTTTATCTTATTTGCATTGGCTAGAACTTCCAGAATAATGTGACTATTAATGTAAATGATGAGCATCTTTTTCTTGCTCCTGCCTTTAATGGAAAAATGTGTTGTTCATTTTGGTTCACCATTACATATTGGTAAGATATGTAAAAATGTTAGGGAAATCATCTTTGATTCAGAACATATTAAGAGATTTGTTTAAATTTTTTTCTCATTAGAAATGCATTCTGAATTTTATCAGATGCTTCTTCGTCAAAATTATCATATATTTGTATTTTTTAAATTTTAACCTATTAATGTGATATAATAATAGGTTTCCTAATATTTACCCTTCCTTGTATTCATGAAATAACTCTTATTCAGTCATGGGGAGACAACTTCAATACAGTATAGAGGTTATGAGCATATGTTCTGGAATCTGCCTGCCTGGGTCCTAATTTAGGCTCTGCCATTACTATTTACTGTGACCATGGACAAGTAACAGCCTCTGTAATTCTCAGGGTTTTCTTCTTCAAAATTGGCAAGATAATAATACTTATGTGAGAGTTGTGTGAGAATCATTTGAGATAATTCCTGAAAACAGCAATATATGAGATACACTGAGTGTGTAAAAATGTCAATTAATATAATTATTTTATCTTAATATAGACTGATTTTGTCAATATTGTATGCGTAATTCTTGCAATATATTTCCAAATGAGATTGACTTGTCATTTTCTTTTTGGATGCTGTCTTTGTCAATTATCTTTGACACTTTTTTGGTATCAGTGTTTTGTTAGTCTTGCCAAGTGAACTGGAAAGCTTTCTATCTTCTTCCATATTTCAGAAGACTTTAAATAACATTTAAACTTCTATTTAATTAAGGAATGAAAAATTTTCTGTTTTTTTCTGTTAACCATCAGTGAAGTCGCATTTGCTAGGTATAATTCTTTGACAATGTTTTCATTTCTTTCATGGCTTTCACCTTTACAAATATTCCATTTAAATTAACTTTGATCATTTGTACTTTCTTAAAATATCATTTTTACCATACATTAATAAATTCAAATTTATTATAGTAGAGTTGTACATAATATTTTCTTAAGGATTTTTAAGCCTCCTTAAAATCTGTTGTTACCTTCATTCCTATGTTACAAAATTGATACTTGCTATTCTTCATCTTTGTTCAGAACTGGTAGCAATTTCATTATGATTAATATGGATACGTTCTAGAAATATATCAATAAAAAGTATCCCAATAGTTTTGCTCTCTGTCAACTTCCATTATCATGAGTTTCTTCCTCCTTGTTCCTTTTTGGTTATTTTTAAATTGTCTTTTCCTATTTTCATGCTTAGTTCATTTATTTTCCTTCTTTTTTATTTTAGATCAAAGCATTTTAGGCTAAGGGACTATGAAGTTTCCTCTGAGTACAGTTTGATTCCTATCTCATATTTTTAAATAAATCTATGATTTTTAATGTTTTGTTTTAATCTGTTGTTTATAGACATTTATAGTTTTAATTTATTCTTTAATCTAAGAATCACTCAAAAAGACTTTTTAACTTTTAAAATTAAATTAAAATTGATTTCTAGTTTTATTACACAGAGGTCAGAGAATGTGGACTGTACAATTTTGTTTGTTTGTTTTTCTTTTTCTTTCCCTCTAATTGTTTGATCATTTAAGCAAGAAACTTGAAAAAACTGGAAGTCGTTATTCCTGTCCTGCCCCTGGGTTCTTCAGAACCATTTTTTTTTTAGATTCCATATATATGTGTTAACATACGGTATTTGTTTTTCTCTTTCTGACTTACTTCACTCTGTATGACAGACTCTAAGTCCATCCACCTCACTACAAATAACTCAATTATGTTTCTTTTTATGGCTGAATGGACCTGAGGACATGGGGAGGGGGAAGGGTAATCTGAGACGAAGTGAGAGAGTAGCATTGACATATATACACTGCCAAATGTAAAATAGATAGTGGGAAGCAGCCACATAGCACGGGGAGATCAGCTCCGTGCTTTGTGACCACCTAGAGTGGTGGGATAGGGAGGATGGGAGGGAGACACAAGAGGGAGGGGATATGGGGATATATGTATATGTATAGCTGATTCACTTTGTTATACAGCAGAAACTAACACAACATTGTAAAGCAATTATACTCCAATAAAGATGTTAAAAAAAAAAAAACTGGAAGTCAAACATAGTAAACTGAGAGGACAACATATTGGGCATGAAAATTCTCTTTTATCTATCTTACTTTAAAATATGTAAAACTAAGCATAGTACTTGCATAGGGTAGCTGAATAACTCTTACTGTCTTTTATCTCTCTACTGATAATATCAATTTAAGTGTCTTAATGCTCAACTTTCATTACAATTTGTTTCAACTCAATATGCCTACTTGCATAAACTGTTAAGTATTTTAGAGGCTTTTTTTTTTTTACTTTTATATGGGAAGCTCATTTTTCACTGTCTAATATGAAAGTATTCATGTTATTACTCATTTATGTAATGTAATTATTTAAAGTATTGATTCACTTTTGTTTGCTATAATTTGTATTTACTTTCAATTTTCATATTTCCTACATACTTAAATTCCACTTTTAAGAATATTTCTGTTTTGTTTGTTTCATTATTATTTTTGCAGAACATGGTTGGAGAATGGGCCTTACCAGAAGAAATGGTCGATAATTTACCACCCTCCAACAATTGCATATTGGGCCATGTGATTCACAGACTAATCGAAAGTTCTCTTCCTTCTCAAGTTGAATCGACAGTACCAGAGTTACCTTCATTTGTTATAAAAGGATGCGTGTTGGGGAAAACATTTAGTGGAAAAACTACTGCTCTAAAGTCTCTAGAGAAAAGTAAAATTTCTTTCTTGTTTGTGTTTTTTTCCTTTATTGGATTCTATTTACAATGACTGTAGCTGCAAATGGCTATGTCTGTAGAAAACATACATGAGAATCTGCAAATATATTGGGAAATTCTGTCATCAAGAATTTTGTAATAGGTTGATCACATAATTTATTGTCCAAGTCAGACACTTTTAGGAGTAGAGAGTCATAAATTGGGACTGTCCCAGGGAAACCCGGACATATGAGCTTGCTATATAATTATGATGCACGGTATAAAGAGAAATAATGTCTTAAACTTTACTTAAACTTTCATCATAGATTTTACTTTACCAATAGATGAAGTAGGAAAATAATAACTTGTCACAAATAAAAAAGAAATCATGACTTCCCTGTGTGGCACAGTGGTTAAGAATCTGCCTACCAATGCAGGGGACATGGGTTCGAGCCCTGGTCCGGGAAGGTCCTACATGCTGTGAAGCAACCAAGCCCATGTGCCACAACTACTGAGCCCACGAACCACAACTACTGAAGTCCACGCGCCTGGAGTCCATGCTCTGCAACAAGAGAAGCCACTGCAATTAGAAGCCCGGGAACCGCAAAGAAGCATAGCCCCTGCTCGTCACAGCTAGAGAAAGCCCGCACACAGCAACAAAGACCCTACACGGCCAAAGAATAAATTAATTAATTAATTTAAAAAAAAGAAAGACAGGAAACCAACTTAAAATTATAAATGTTTTAATTCTTCACATTGATTGAGTTCTTTCCCTTTAATAAACTTTTGGCTTTTTATCTAGAAGTCCTTTCAGTTAGAAGTGAAATCATAGTTTTCCATCTATTTACTTAGTTTTTCTTCACTAATACTTACCCTTGACTGTTTTTACTGGAAAACTCAAATTTTTCACTGAGGCCAGTCTGTCTTGTAACAGTCCAAGGCAGAGAACAGTAAGTCATTATTGAGATGTTAAATAGACCTCTTTAAAAGGCAGCCTAACAAAAGCTCAATGAGATACCACTCCACACCCTCTAGGATGGGTATAATTTTTAAAAATTGGAAAAAAAGTGTTGGTGAGGATATAGAGAAGTTGGAACTCTCATACATTGCTGGTGAGAATGTAAAATGGTGTAGCCACTATGGAAAGTAGTTGGTGATTCGTCATTAAGTTAAATAAAAAATTACCATATGACCCCAGCAATTCCACCACTGATATATACCCAAAAGGACTGAAAAGAGGTGTTCAAAAAAAAACATATGCAGTAATGTTCATAGCAGCACTATTAATAATAGACAAAAGATGGAAACCATGCAAATGTTCATCACC